AAATTATGTTCTTGTTCTTAAACTTAAGAACAATTCCTTTTTTCCTTAGTTATATGGAACCAGTTCTACTGTTAAAATTAATCCTTGAAAAGACAAAAATCTTAAAAATGGAAATCTGAGTCTTGTGAATCCTACTTTTCACGTATCTGACTTATTATAGCAATACAAGCCTGGTGTTCTCCCCTATGAAGGTGCTTTGGACGACATTTGCGTAGTGGCTGCCAAATAAAGTCCAGAGGTTTCAGAATCATTTGTCAACACCAAAGACAACATTACCAAGATCTGGTCCATTCTTCCCAGAGGTCATTCCTTCTGATCTATGGGTTTATTACCTAAAACAGCAATTAATCTTGCTGCCTTTGGAATACAAAATATTTTTAGCCGAAGTAGCATCCTCCTCCGATCCATATTTCTAACTGGGCATCCCTGCCAGGAGGTTTAACAAAAGGTCCACTGGCTGGACATCAAGGGATCTGTCTCCATCCAGAATCTGTAGCTAACCCAGCTTCAGTTCAGCTGTGAACAAGGTCCCTACTTCTCTGGGCTTTGGCTGTCTCATTTTGAAACCACAGATGATTTCTAATACCTTTCCCTTTCAAAAACTCCAGAATTACACAAATCTCTAATATTTTTGAAAAGGACATATGCAATAGAAAAGGTTATATTTTCTATTCAATAATTTTTAATGTGAACAGGAATATTGTATGTGGGTGAGTTTTTGTATATTGTGTCTATATGCATATATAAGTATGTGCATATACATATTTGTATCAGTACACACATACACTGATACCATTAGGTGCTTATACAAGGACTAATTGCTTCCAACTCAAAGCAGCAAATTTTCAATTCTGCAACAGATGTCGCTGTGTGATTTCTCCTTTCTGTGCTGGATTTTCTGTTAAAAATGCCCAGCATTATGGTCAGTATTATTCTTCCCAAGAAAGATAGACAGCATTTTAATCCTTTGAATTTATTTCTTACAAATTTTTTCTTATGCTGGACACTTTCCATTCAAATCACAGTATCAATTAGTTTGGCCTCATTTAAGAAATTCCCCCAAATGAAAACAGGACTTCTGTTAATAGCAAACGCACACACAATTTTTAAATGTAAATTCTAAATGAAAAATAAGGCGTTAAAATGTAACATACAGAAACCCAATGAGAATGAGACCGTGTATATTCATAGTAATATTATCAATTTTCAAAACCTAAAAAGTCATTTAGCAAAGTAGGGTAAGTAATAATAAAAAGTCATTTACATATGAGGTTAAAATGTACCAGGTGTGGGGAAAAGTCACAAAAACTCCAAAACATCATTAATGATAATAAAAATTCTGGATTTTAGCTTCTACAGCATTTCTTCAAAAATAAATATAGTACAGCTAATGTTATAATTGCAAGACATCTTACCAATCTGACATTCACTACCAACCACCTCTTGACACATGTCATAGAAAAGTGACAGCTCTTTCCCTTCAACCAAATATATCTTCCAATGATCATCAATCTCAACAGGTAGCTAGCACTATGGTCTGATGAAATTTTGTGTGTGTGGGGGGGGGTGTTAAGATTTTCCCTTCGGAACCCAGAAACCGGTTACCTTCTGAAATTTTTGAGGGAGTGGAAAGCAAAGCAGGCAATGAGTCAGGCACCAACTCCAATAAGAATATGAAGTCAGGAAGCCAGAGAGGAAGCGAAAGTGTCCTGCCTATTGGCGTCTTCCCTGTCCCACTCCCCTTTACCAGGAGGGCCACTGGGGAAAACTGGATAAAGCATGTACAACATCCATATGAATAAAGCTCTTTGTTCCAGAGAACTGCCTGCTCTTTTATTCCCCCCTTTTTCGTATTTGTTCATTTCAAAAGATTGCTCAATGGGTCTCTTGTTCCTCCAAAATGTCCCAGGCAAATAATGCAAGCTTGTCTCGTCACACAAGTCACTAAATGAAGCCTTGTGCGTCTCCAGTGACACACTGTAAATATAAAGTGGCATTAATGAGGGATATTTTATCAAAGCTATCACAGGCAAGTGCAAGTCCCTCCTGCGGCTATTCAGTTTGATGCAGGGATAGGCAACAATAGCAGGCCGGCACTTTTGCAAAGTCCCTGTCCCTGGGATGCAAGCCCCAACAGGCTGCGGCAAGCAAAACTCAGCCCCTGACTTCCCGTCACCACCACAAATCTCCCACCCATCAGCCATCTTCTCTAATCCCCAAAAAAGGTAAGAGAGGGTGATCTACCACTGGTTCATTCAGGATCCAAAACATCATGCATGCACTTTAATGTAACAGGCATAATTAACACTGCTTAAGCAATACCATTCTGGCTGCATTTCATGAACATCCATTTCATCCAAACACCACCAGGAGGAATGGGAGATTTTCTCTAGAGGGTTAGATGGCTTCACTCACAGGGGAAAAAGAATCAGGACTCAGTGCTTAATGGCTGGAGTTCTCTTTCCTAGCAAGGATGTAAATGAAACAAGCCTAATGAAGTTCAAAGACAGCACCAACAGGTTTCTTTAATCCTGGGAGTGGGAATCAGGAGCTTCTCAGATCACATTAACAAATCTGAGGAAGAAAAGTCCCCTAGGCGTCCACCTGAAATTTACCACCAGAATATGGGATTTAGGGTTGGGCCAATATCCCCCTCTCAAACCTAGAGCCAAAAAAAACAAAAAAAAAACACGCATAAAAAATTAAAGAAAGTCCCCTCACTACAAATCAAACCCAATTACTTTCTAATTTGAACACAATCTGATAAACAGAGTACAAACAGGGATGTACACAAGAGCAAGAAGCTGCTTCCATGGTAACTGGCAACAGAATTTTCATGTAGCTTTGACATGCACAGTTGAGTATCAGACCGCTCCTTTCTAAGTCAGCACATATCCCTCGCCGGGAAGGCAACTTCTCACCGCGAGATAGTTACAAATATAGTACTGTTGTTACTACCCGGTGCCTTCAATGAGCAGGCTTGACATGGGAAGCCTAATCTAATCCAGTTCTGCTGCCAAGAGGCATTGCATGGCTCCCGTTTTCAGGCAATATCCCCGACCAGCGCTCCCCCCCACCTTTTTTTGCAGCTAATACAAGTCTATTGTTGCCTCTATTATGCGCCAGTTACCGAGCCTTTACTCACGCTCACGTTTAACTGACACTGGCGCTTTTTACAATGCAGCAGCACGAGGATCTTTTTCAGGAACATTTTACTGAACCCCTCTAGTCAGTGGCATCACCTGAAATGAAGTTGTAACCATACCCGGCATCGGCTGAACCCAATTATCTTGAAACTCATAAATTAAGAATTCACAGAGGAAAACATATAAACAACATCCGAAGACTGACGATGGCAGGGAAGAAAAAATCCTCCAACGCTGGGAATGAAGCCGCTGCCAGACTCTCACCCCTATGGCCCGATATACTCTGCAAGCAGAGATCCTCCGTAAGCCTGTTTTGGGGGAAAGCACCAACCGGCCATCCCCCAAATACAAAGCCCAGTACCCCCAGATATCCCCATTTCCTACAGCGTGTCTCCTGCGGTGTTTACATAACTGTGTGTCCTCTAGCGTGTAAACAAAAGGCACAGCCCAAGCAAAAAGGCGCTGAGCCCGCCCGGGCTAGGGGCTCCGCAGGTGGGGGTTGAGCTCTCGGCGTCCTCCGCCACTTGTTGCTCCGGGTCCTGCAGCTCTCGAGCTGCAAGGAGGGGCTTTGCAGGCGCATAGCCATACTGCATCCCCTCATGCACCGCCGCCCGCCCCCCGTAACCGGGAGCCACTCGGTCCCGGCGCCCGCAGGGAGCCCACAGCAGGCGGCCAGGGGCGCGGGGACGCCGCGCCGCTGCCGAGCGCGAAGAGGCGGCGGGAAGGAAAGCAAGGGTGCAGCACGACCAGCCTCTCCGCTGGGGAAGAGCTCCGGTTCCCTTTTGTTAGCAAATGCAAACACTGCCCTCTTCTTTCCCGACCGCGCCAACGCGCCCGGCACACGGGCAGCCACACATGGAGCTCCTGCCGAGCGCACGGTGTCTTCAGGGAAGGCGCCAGGCATGCAGAGCCGCCCCTGGGCAAATTCCCAAGACTGGTCTCCACGAGGGGGGTGCCCGGAGGCCCACAGGGAGCCCGCCTGGACGCAGAGGCCGCGAACGCGCCCTCCACCACCCTCCGGCCGCCGAAAGGACGAGCTGCCGGGAAACCCGGTGTCCCCACTCGTGGCAGAGGACGCCGTGGGGCGGGCGGGATGCGGGCTCCCCGCGCCTTCCCGCAGAGGCGGCGACAGCGACCGCCCCCCCACCATGGGGCCGGGCCGGGGGAACTTTCCCTGCCTGGATCCGGGCCAAGAAGACCCGCAGCCTAGCAGAGGGGGCAGAGGGGCTGCGATGGGCCGGAGGGAAACACTAGAGACGTGCAGTTCGGGGACCGGAGAGAGGCAGAGCGCGAGGAGCGGAGAAGAACAGACAAGTCTGAGGTGTCCTGGGAACCCGCAAGGAATCACGCCGGAGGCGGCGGGTAGTCAGCCATAGGGAGGCTTGGGGGATGGAGAAGTCGGGCGCAGGGGGGGGGGGAGTTGCTCAATGGAGAGGTGGGGGCAAACCGGCAGCCCTGGGAGACCAGAAGACCTGCAAGTTGTGGGGACATCAGCGAGTTTAAGAGGGTCCGGAAGGTTTGGGGGTGCCTTCGATCCCTCCCCTTCCCCCATACTCTCTAGCCCCCGGCCCCCCAGTCTCACTCCACTCCGCACCTCGCGCCAAGCCAGGGAGAAAAGGTGTGGGTGCAGCCATCCCTGAGGGCTCTCATTCATAACCAGCCGGGCAGGGAAGGGGAGCAGCGATTCCCTCAGCCCCTTCCATCTCAGCCGTGGAGTTTTCTCTCCACACTCCCTCCGCTTCGGATTTAGGAAGTGGGGGGAGGTTGTCATGGAAACGTTTCCCCCCTCCATGGCTAAGGCTACTGGGGTGCCTGGGGAGGTTTCGGGGCCAACTGGCCGGTACCAACACCTACCTGTGGGGATCAGAGCCGCTGAGGAGAGGAGCAACAGCAGAAGCCGGAGCCGAAGCCCTGGAGGCGCCGCCGCCGCCGCCACTGCCGCTGCCGCCGCACACTGGGATCCGCTCGGCAGCACAGCACTCGCCATGTCGGGCACCTGCCTCAGACTGGCGGCAGTGGCTGCCTCCCGAGCCCGAGCGGACAACTAATGAGATGCTAATTACATGCACTGAAGGCGGAGTCCGAACAGGCCAATCACAGCGACGCGAGCCCAACCCGGCTCTCGAAGGACTCGCCCCCTCCCCCACCCCGCCCCCTGGCGCTGGCGTTCGGCGGCGCGCCCGCGCCACCTAGGGGCGGGGCCAAGGGGAGGGGCGTATGCAAATATGTTTATGTTAAAATCGGTCTTCGCTTTCCCCAGATCAAGGAAAAAGTGTTCTCTAGGGCGCTTGGAGTGTGGGGGTTCAGGCTCCAGGGGGCGGGTCTAGCTTCCCGAACACCTTTATTAGGAATGTTTACAGCGATCGCTGTACGTATCAAACCGTCGACTGGAGAACCTCCCTAGGAGGTTCCTCTGCCCGGTACTCCGTGTGCATCTGGCCTGGAAACCAGTCATTGCAAATTTCCGTCACTCACCTTGCACGAAGGAATAGATCTTTGGGAAACCGGGCTGTGCGGGAGTAGAGAGTGAGAATGCAGGTCCCCGGATTGACAAAACAATCTGGGAGAAGTGCATGCGTGCTTTGCACGTCCGGCGGAGCGGGAGAGCCTGTTCAACAACCTAGCGGCGGACTTGGGGATAGTTGAGAGACTGGAACCGTGGAGTCGGGTTCTGGGATTTTCGAGTCCGTGTCTTTACGGTATATTCTCGAGAAAGGTACAACGAGGAGGGTACACTCAGGCTCCCCAGCTTGTTAAGGGTCTCCTCCCTGGTTTTAATATGTATATGTATGTGTGTGTTTAATATATTTGTGGCATATGTGAAATATATTTAAGATTAAACGCTCACAACAAAAATTCTACCCTGTCAAGGCTTCAGGGGGAAGGCTGGTGTGGAATAGGGGGCATGCTGAGAAGGAAGGGTCTACCATTTCCTCCCTCAAGACTCAAACCCACTCCCTCCTCCTTTACTCCCCCAGACCTTCCTAAAGCGACTGGACACCAACAGGTGCTTTCAGCTTCCCGGGTCTCTGGGAGAGGTTCTCCTGCTGAAGTGACTTGCATCTTTGGACTCACTCTCCCTCCCTCAAATTACCTTTGTTTTCTTTCCAACCAAGCAGCCGGCTCTCTTGTTTGTCTGCTTTTTAATTACTTATTTTCTTCCCCTCTAGAAGATCGTGTGCGCTCTGACCCTCTGTTGCTCAAGCATCAAATTGAAGGACGAGCCATATTAAGTGTAAAGGTTTATAATAATTTAAGTATTCATAGAATGCAGAACAATAAGATGTAGGAAATACAATTTGCATAATAAATATCAATATCACAACAGCTAAAACAAACCATGACAAATTATCTGTGGCTAAATGACCAAGAGATTACTGAATGTAAATTGCTAAATCTGCCCTGTAGTCTAGAAAAGCTGCACCCAGTGACTTCTCTAGCCCTCTGTCCTCCTTTTGCTAAAAAAAAAAAAAAGAATAAATAAATAATAAAATATATAAAAAACGAAGTCATGATCTGCCAACCCACCAAATGAGTTACACTTTCAAACAGCCTCCTATTATCCATTATGCATAAACTAATTTCGATACTGCCCAGTCTTCCCAGCCCTGGATATTCTGCTCTGTAATTACAGGCCCGGATGCAGGAACTGCAGGCAGTCCTCCAGAAGTGGGGAGAGTTCCAGCAGGCAAATCGCAGCACATGAGGCAGGAAACCAACACCACATGGTCACCAGGTCTGCAAATGCCCTAATGCAAGTGTCCAGATTGCAATCTTACCTATGCTTTATCACCTCTGGATATGAAGCCGCCTAGATCAGAAATGATGCAAAGCAGAGTCCTGTCAAAATCAGAATTAAAAATTTGAGGGCATATATACATATGCTGAAAGTGATGTGGAAACTATAAAATCAGGTCTTATGTGCCAGGAACACTAGCACAGGGCCTAGAACACAGTAATAGTAATATTTGCTGTTATTATTACTACTATTCTTGTATTTATTGAGTTCTTTTTAGTATTTTGCATGCAAAATCTCATTTAATCCTTGGAACAATCTCCAAGGTGCCAACTATTATTATCTCCTATTTTATGTTTTTTAAACATGGTAGAAAGATTAAGCAAGAACCCTGAGCTCACAGTTTCTAAGTTGCAGATAGAGCCTGTGCAATTAACCAATATGCTGTACTGGGCCTCAATAAGTATCTGTTAAATGAATGAATAAATTTCGCATTACAATGTATGAATAATAAGCAAAGGATAGTTACATTTTTAACATAAGGTGAAAATATGCCAGCAACCCAGAAACATTTTTTAAAATGTTTGAATTGCAATATATTCCTAAGGAAAATCATTCCTCGTGAGGCTGAATCTCTAAGAGAATCTAGCCAGGCCCCATTCCTCCCACACTCAGAACACAGTATGGGGACATTGGAAGATGTGGAGTGTTTTCATCTCTCTTCATTCTCTTGGCACATCAAGTGAACACCTACTCAAATTTCCAGTTGGCAAAGAACAACATGGGACATTTCTATAGGAAATGCTAATGCTGTATGACTTACCTCACTAGAGGAATGCAAATAGCTTTAGAAATTTCCGCAGAAACGCCACCTGTGCCATAAGATTAAGGAACACACACATCCAATTTCCCAGGTACAGAAACTGAGTCCTGGCACACCTTTAGCATTGGGATCTCCATAGAAATAATCAGAGGTGAGAATTTAGGATTAAGCTGTTGCTACTCTATCCACTAGCCATGCTCCTCTCCCACCCCCAGCTCTTTCACACCAACGATGTCGCCAAGTGATTTAACATATGGAACATGTGAAGAACGTATCAAATTCCCACAGCCGCTAAGTACAAGTTATGACTACTCTGGCTTTCTCATAGTAAAGCTCGTCATTTTCTGCTCCATGGACTAGAACTCCTCGCCAACTACAAGTTCCAACTATTTTTCCCCTTGCTGCATGGATTTAACCAATTTTGAAAAACAGATGGTGTTTTTGCCATTTATAACTGATAATCAATTGTTTTGTGAATTTAATTTTTCAAGAAAGAACTGAAATACTTATCAGAATTACAATCTGGGTGCTACTTGTGTTAGAACAAAATTGCCAAAAGCACCAAGAGCCCAGCTTTTTTTTTTTTTTAACTTTAAAGAGAGAGACCTTATATTGTTTGCCTTCACTAAAACAGTTGAGAAATGTGGATAAACATATATGAAAAGTAAGCAATAAAGGGAGATTCATGTTTTGGGGAATATATCAGAGATAATAAAAAGTAGTAACATCTTGCTTGTTAAAATACCAATTATTTTAATACCCATGTATAAAAAGCAACAAAGACAAATTATTAGGAGAACAGTATTTGGAGTCAGCATTTGCCCTGCTGATGGATTTTTAAAGTACCAACAGAAAAGTGTTTTAATCCATATCATAGATTATTTGTGTCCCCCCAGAATTTATATGGTGACGCTCTAGCCTCAGTGAGATGATAGATGTGAGAACTTTAGGTGATTAGATTTAGATGAGGTCATGAGATTGAGACCCTTATGATGATATCAATGCCCTGATAAATACAGGAAGAGACATCAGAGTTCTCTTTCCATGAACATTCAGAAAGGAAAGGTTAGGTGAGTGTACAGTCAAAAGGCAGCCCTCTGCAAGTCAGGAAGAGAACCTTCACCAGAACCTGACCTTGCTGGCAACCTTATCTTAGACTTAAAGCCTCCAGAACTTAGGGAGAATAAATTTCTATTGTATGACATTTTGTTATGGTAGCCAAAGTGAACTAAAACAATCTGTAAGCTGCATTTGGGTATATGAAAAGAATCGTGTCAGCTTTTTATAGAGAAGTATACTGAATTAAAGAAGTTAGCAATGTATTAGAATATTGGGCTGAATAGACTCTCAGTCTTATCTAGTAGATAGTTCTCATATTCTTAGATTAAGACTGAACAGCTCATCTTTGGGGGAAGCTGTCTATGAATCTTTATGAAATTCAAAGGCAGCTAAATCCATATTCCTAAATGAGTAATTTAACACTTTACCCAAAGGTTTATTCTTCTAGAATCATGGAGTTGACGATAAACTCTTGAATATCAAGAGTTGAATATCAGTTTGAAAGGAAGAAAAGTACTGAAGTAGGTTGCAGAAAACTACACACAAACTGGGTCAAGGAGCAGCCTCAATTCCCATGGAAGGGAAATTTACCATAGGGACCCAAGTCATAGTTTGTGCCAATCAACTATCTTGGAATATATCCAGGTATACGTGGCCGCTCCAAATATGCACTCACTAGAACAAAATACTGTATAGAGCATCTCCATGGAACAGTCACTGTTAAATTCTGGAAATATGAAGGTGAATGAACAAGTTTATCTACGGTCCTGGAACTAGGAGTAAAGTAAGGGAGATAGACATACACCACAATTATTATATATAATGAATGTTTTATAATATATGGACACAGCTCTATGTGAACAGAAAAGGGAGGCACTTAACTATTCTCAGAGGGCAAGTATCAATGTCTATGTATGAGGGAAACATCAAATGGGAGAATGTTCTTCAGCTGAGTCTTAGAAGTTGAGGAAGACTCCACAGGGCAGACAGAGATATGCTAGCGCAAAGGGAAGGTGTGACAAGAGAGGAAGTTCATTTATAAGGTGCTAAAAGCTTATGTTACAAATATAATGACTGAAGTTGCAAGTAGAATGGATCACAGATCGCTAGAGGACAAGTGGCAAGAAAGGAAGCTAGAAAATATATACAGAGACCAGGGAATGCCTTGATTGACACACAAGAAGTTTTGACAGTTTACTTTAGGTAATGAGAAACCATGGAACTAATAGAATCGCATGACCAGATTTATATTCAAGAAAAAATGAATCCCAGATTTGTACTTTCAGTATTGCAGTGGGTGTTGGTATCATTGCTTCAGGTAGGGACACAGGTATGAAACAGACTTGTTTAATTGTTTATTGTTTGTTTAGGGGATGAACACTGGGAAGAACATAATAATTTCATTT